ATTTAATAAAGCGGTATTACATGTTATCATATTGTCTTGTGCTTTTTCATAATTACTTTTATTTTTGTATTAACTACTTTTTTTTGTTTAATTTAGGGGAATGTCTGCAGTTGATAAGAAAGCAAAGATAAATTAGGTGTCATTATCAATAAATGTGAAATGTATTCTTTTATGCCGAGTTTGTTTAGATAAAATGTTTCATAAACCTATAAAATTTATTTTTCAGATACCTCGTAACCAGGTGTTACTGATATATGAATATTACATCCTTTGTTTTATGAAAAAAATAGTTTTATATGATTTTATGATCACGCCATTCAAGGTTAGTATTAATTCCATATAATAATAATATCTTTCAATTAAAAAAGCTAAACTTTGTGCTCGTTTATTAACATGTACTTTTAATTTATTTTTTATAGTAGGAAAGTAAATGAAGCTTCATAAAAGATGAACTTAATGAAATCCGTAAAGAGTGGTCTGATTATGTATTATCATTTGCTACACCTTAAGGTTGGAAAATGTTGGTTGGGTGTAAATATATATATTACATTGATTATAATTTTTTTAATATGCCATGTTGATTGGATAATTTTTAATTTTTGATTGGGGTATTAGTTTCATATAAATGGTATATATTTGTTTTATATCAATTGGCAACTTTTATGAATAGACATACAATGAGTACAATTATTTGAAAAAAGGTATTTTTATAAGCTAACGTTATTAGCTATAAATTCGATGTGTGGCATAATATTGAAGTATTATGATGTTCACAATTTAAATTAAAAAATGTAATTCTTAGAAAATCAAATATGTATTTGATTCACACAAGTACAAAGCTAAATTTGCATATTTACAACCTTCTCCATCCTACCTTAATTAAATAAATAGGTTTCGAAAATTACACATTGAATTTGTAAACAAAATGTAGCATGATCTACATGTGTCCAGCAGGATCTATATGTTTTTAGAAGGAGAAAAGTCAAATGATGGGCGATATGTAGTACACTCGTTTAACTGTTTTCCTAATGTAATTACTTTTAAATACAATCGGTGTCATAAAAAAAAAACTCGACTTTATGATTTTCTTTCAACATATACTCACTAGCAGTGAGTATTTCATCATGCATGAATTCATTGTGTTGAATAATTTCATTGAAAAGTCCCTTTCTTCTATTTGTATTCTCGACTTCTGTATGGAAGTAAGCTAAAATGTCCTTTATAACATCCACAACATGATCATATGAAGCACCAATATAGCCAATCTAATGCACCAACTCAATGATTGGTCCATCCTCGCTCCTAGCACGCTTTTTACCTGACAACATCGTCTAGCGTTGGTTGAAGCAACATAACCAAATTTATCTTCATCATTTCCTATCTCTGCATTTCCTTTAACATTGATATCAAACTTACGAGAGAAGTAAGCATCTTTATTAGCATTTAATGATTCAACTGCATCGATTGCTATTTCAGTTTGTTGATCGATTGCTTTATCAAATCCGATTATCACTTTAAAATAATCAAGAAATGAGAAAGGTTTATTTTGTAATCTTTTAGCATGTGGGTGTGACTGGCAAGAGTTCAAACAAAGATGAATCGAATAAAATCCATAAAAAATATGTCAAAAAGATAGATAAGTCATAATATAATCTAAAAATATTTACCCGAACCCACTAATCAAATACTGCTTTCTCAGTTGTGATACATTTTTCTTGATCATCCACCTAAATCCAATAGAATTTTTCATATAACAAATTGTGTGATTTGTCTCTTAAGCAACTTAACCTTAGATTCTATGTGGGGTGTGGCTTTAAGTTGTGAAGTGGGAATGACTTGCTCTAGTATTTGTTCAATATAACCTAGATATCTAATGTGAAATGTCCCATTATCCACTCTTCATCTAGGATCTTCAGCCAAAGAATGTAGGCATTGAACCAAATACGAATCCTCATCTCGAGTCCATGAATGGTTACCAATGCCCAAACTGGCCAATCGTCTTTTGGATACGTCTTGAACGGATTGCAATGGATTGGCACGCAATGAAGACATTTCAATTCCTAATCACATGGTTAGACATTATGAAATAATAAATAACATAAATAAAAAAAATCAAGGGAATGAAATAACAAATGCACATGGAAAGAAAGCAAAAAAATGTGTACTCCAAATTGTAATACTTATTGGACAATAAAAAATGCCTTAATATATTGTAAACATATATTCAACATTGATATAAAGCAAATTCTACACTCAACCATAGGGTACATAACATAAAAACCATTGGGTAAACAAATAATAAAATACAAAACATATCTATAATGTCATTATCCTCGGGATTGCAACCAATGGGTGAACATATCATTAGCCAAATTATCTCTAAATTAAGTCTAATAATCAGATGGCTCAATATACGCAATCAAATGTTTAGATTCATCTGGTTGGGAAATACTTCCTTCAGCAACATCTCTTTCAATAGGGTTAAAAACTGTCTCAAACCTAATAAAATTATAGAGAAGGCAGCAAGCAAAAATGATTCTACACTGTGTCTTAATTGAATAAAATGACTTCTCCCTTAAAATTCTCCATCTAACTTTTAATATACCAAAACATCTCTCGATACAATTTCTTGCTTGAGAGTGTTTCATATTGTAATATTCATGTAGGGTCACCAGTTGGAGTCTTGCCTTCCAACCATTGAGATGGTATCATTGACCTCTATAAGGTGCCAAGAATTCTTTCCCATTTGTATATCCGGCATCACACAAATAGTAATTACCTATTAGAATGCTCAACAATATTACTAATATGGAAATAAGCAACGTCGTTATTAACATTACACTAACATAATACAAATCATACCTTGTGAGATCTTTAACCCATTCCTATATGTAATCCCTTAACACTTTACTATCTATAGCAGAACCTTCCCATCCTAGTAAAACATATATGAATTGCATATCTGGGGTGCAAACACAAAAGACATTAGAAGTAATTTCATTTTTCCTAGTCCTATATCTAGGTTGGTCAACTACATCTACATTGACTTTGATGCATGTCCTATCTAAGGCACCCAAACAACCTTTGAACTATTTTCATCTATTACCTGTCGAATTTTTTGATATGGGTTTGGGTTTTTTAAATAACAGTGTATGCAATCTTAAAACAAAATTCAACATGGAATGGAATTATCTTTAATTATCTCTCTAGATTTGGCAACTTGATGCTTTATAATTCTATTTTTTATATAATAGGCAATAATGTAAAGTAAGCTAATTACTAGTTCTTCTATTGACATATGTCTAGATGACTGTAACCCCCTTTTCTACTTTAAGCAAATGACATAATTTTGTAAAAACTCTCTTGTCCATTCTAGTATGATCTAGACACTATATATAATTCTAAAAAATCATTGCGTTTAAGTTTAACTTTCTAATACGTAGCTTATCATAAAATGTTCCACCATAAGATAGTCTACGCCATTTTTTTATGTTAATATTTAATAAAGTTACAGCAACAAAACATAACAAATGCAACAAAGTCTTTATTTGGTACAATTGCATCATAAGTAATGTAACAATTGCATATTCCTTTTTAGGGAAAAACCATCCATAACTGTTTAGTAGAAAGAATATCGTTAAGGTTGAAAACATAATGGAAAGCAAATCTTGGTATATAGGATATGGAATCTCACAAACATCATCAAATAAAGTATAAATCACAAACAAAACATTGAAAGATTGGAAGGAGCTAAAACAATTTAACCACAAAACAAATAATATATATAAAAAATGCCTTTAATCTAGAGCTAAACGACATCAAAAAAATTAAAAAATAAGTTCATTGGAAGGCAACATAGATTATACACTATCAATTAAAAAGTATGCACATTGTTTTGTGTAATAAAAGACAACAAACTTTAACAAGACGAAGATTAAATGATGGATGAGAAAGCTAAAATTTTTTCAAAGAGATAAGTAAATGCTATGAGCTGAGATCTCTTGAAATAGAAATCAGAAACGTATTGGTCATTGAAACATGATGAAGACATCGAATTAGGCGTTCCATATATACGAATGCCATATTTGATATTTATATTTACTAGCTCTTCTACTTCACTATTAGACATTAGAACGTTTATATTGTTAGAACATGATCATCGAGAGGGAAAACAAAATTTTAATATGAGACAATTAAGGCAGTTATAAGAAGAATGCCTCCATTAATAGCCAATTTAAGGCATTTTTCCATACACGCCTTAATCGTTTATTTATAGGCATATTTGAAAAAAGATCATGTCATAACACTTTGATCTATGAACATAAAAAGATTAGTTTTTAATTATCCAATAAGGCATCTCAATTAGGAAAACACCTTAAATAATTGACACAAGAATTAATTAGGGCGAAGTGTGAAGAATTGGACCATATTAATTGATTTATTAAAGGCTTTTTTTGGGGGCAAATGCCTTAAATAATCTTATTCAATTTTTTTTAGGATTATTTAAGGAGTTTTTTTTTTTACCAAAATACCTTAAATAATCTCTTAAATAAATTAACCAACATTATTTAAGGTATTTTCTGGTCAAAAATACCTTAAATAATAAAGAAAATTAAATAAAATTATTTAAAGTATTTTTAGTTAGAAAACGTTTTAAATAATCCTTAAAAAAATTAAATAGGAATTATTTTAAGGTGTTTTTCATGCCAAACACCATTAATTTCAATATAAAATTTTTTTTAGCAGAAATGTATAACTGATTTGTAACTTTTTAAAATAATAACGTCTATTTCATAAATTTTTACTCATGTTAATTTTGAAAATAATGTAATTTTTTTTTTAGAATATTAGAATATCACAAAAAAATATGAATTTTTTATTTTTCAAACTTTAAATACTGTTAAAAATTTATCACTTTCTTTCAAAATCAAATTACATTGAATTAAACATAAAAATCAAATATCCAATAGTAAAATTACGGAAAAAATGCATGAATTTTCCCGTACCAATCACCTCGTTACACCAAAACGGTCCAAACCGATGATTATCTTTTTTGGTATAACCAAACCGATGCTTTGAGTGTCTGGTGAGATTAAAAAATTGAGGGAGACGATGGAGGGTCCTCCGGCGAACGATTGCTGCTCTATTTGCCATGGAAACTTTAACGTTCCTTGCCAAGCCAATTGCTCTCATTGGTTTTGCGGTGCGTTTCTTTTCTTTTCTTTTCTTTCTTGTTTATTATTAAAATTTCATATTATTAATTAAAATTGATTTGATCCACACCCAGGTTTATAAAAATGAAATAATTATCAACCGTTTAGTCGTCTTTTATTTCGTTTACTTCTCCTGTCAAATTCTTTCTGAAAATGTTGATGGCCATTTTCTCTGCTACTGTTAGGAGACAAACTATAGCTAAATAAGAATTAAGAAAATTATATATTTAAATTAGGGTCATAGGATTAGAGTGTTTCTTTAGACAGTGTTGCTTAAATTATTTGGTAAAGCAGACAGGGAATGATTGGATGGCAAAGTACAAATAAACAATTGGAATGAGATGAAAATAGTCAAATTTCTTCAAATTAGTAATGGGAGGCAAATTGGAGGTTGGCTATGATATATGTCTCACAATGATGGTGATTATCAACAGGGATGGATTCAGAGATCCTAAAATGCCTTCAATATGTGATAAAAATGTTTAAAGTCTTGGTAAAAGCTGAATCCCCCCCACCAACTAAAAATACAAGTAGATGGTTCATATTTCATTGATACATACACTAATATCAATATCATATTGCATATAATGTTATTCATGAATTTCAAAATTGAATTTGTTTATTCATTATTTATATTTATTGTTTTTATACTAATTTGTTTGTTTCCTTTTGCTTTTGAAGGTAGTGCTTTGTCTAAGCTATTTTCTTATTTAATTTTAACAAAATTTTGCACAGTTATTGTTTAGTAAGTATGCCCACTAAGTAAATTTTCTGGATCCGTCTCTATCCACAAGGCTGTGTAGTATTTATTTGCAAACTAAAAGGCTGTAATTCTCATCATAATTATACAGGTTTTATACCTTTTTCATTTAGCTGTCTATTTCGATCTGATTGTTTAAATAAATTATCAGGTCTTGTGAAAAAAAAAAAAATAATAAAAGAGACATGATTGTTACTTGAGTCATTAGTCTTGTACTTTACTAGTTTCATTTTGTAATTTTCTGTTTTGCTGGAAACGATCTAAATTATGATCAACTATGTCTATTTTTGGAGTTGAGTTTTTGCTTGCCGTGGATTTTTAAGTTTACTAAATCTTATGATACTAGGAATTTTAGTCTTATTGGATTTATTGAGTTTAAGCCTACATAAATGCATGTCCACAAAGTTATAGACATACTTGTAGTTTTAGACCTGTTTAGTAACAATACTGTTTTTTTTTCTGCCTTTGACAAATTTCCAGGCTGTGTTTTTCTTACCTTCTTTTTCAAGCACATAATGAATAATTCCAGAATCTGCCACTCCTAATCAACCCTCCTTTGTACCCCCAAAACGCCGTCTTCATGACTTGGTTCTTTCCCTCTCAACATATGCTATGCCCTAGCCCTCAAATCACAGATGTATAGTTCGAGTAAATTTTTTTTGTTCGCAACATGAACACAGTGAATTTGTCTCTTAATTTCTTGTTTTGCTTTATATCTATTACTTTAAATTACCATTGTCCTATCAAAACCTCTAAAGGACATAGTGCAAGCTTAATCAACCTATCACCCTACTGAACTAACCTTTGATACAGTTCTGTATGCAAGGGTTGTTTTTATTAATAAATTTATTTCATTTGTTGTTTATTTGCTCTGTTTTCCAACCACGGTTTCAATCTCCAGTCTCAGTGAAATCAATTCCAATACACATTAAACTCTATCCCTCACTTTTGTCAGAGTTACAAACTGTCAAGCTTTTATTTTCTGTGGCTGTGGCTTATTACATAAGCCATGTTGGTAGGACTGTAGGACTGCTTAAATTTGGACTCCATGATAATCTCTTATAACCGTTGTTTGATGATGAAATAATTATTCTTTTTCCTTACTATTATTTAGGTAATTGTATCATGCTTGTTTGGCATCATGGATCCACATTTCACCCATGTAAATGCCCCCTTTGTCGACGTCAGATAACTTTGTTGGTTCCTGGTGAGGCCTCATTAAGGGAACGTCATAACTCAGCAGTAGCCGAGATTCTGGAAAAGGTTGAAAAATACAACCGTTACTTTGGCGGACAATCCAATGGTCTCTTTCAGGTATGAGCACATTTGCATCTATTGAATTTGCTATGCAACTTTTCAACCTTTAATCTGTGACATAACCTTATTCCAGTTTGTGTATTTACCAAAATAAGGTTATTAACTTTTTTACTTTTCTTTCTCTCTTTCTCAAAATAATAATTCAACTTAGTGCCTTACCAGTGTGTAAAATGGTTTACTTCTTATCTGTTCTGTAAATGGAGTCCTAGGTTGAATTTGTACATTGATTAAGAAAACCTTGACCAATTATTTTAATTTGATCTCTTTTCCAAAAATGCCCTTGATCAATGAATAAAAGTGTCAACCTTATGGGTGATAAGGAAAGTATGATACCATTGTTTTGACTGACAGGAAGAACTAGATGCTACTGCATTGCTCATAATCAACAAAACTGTCAAAATTAAAGGAAACTTGGAAGGAGGATCAAACCGGTGATCCCTAGCAGAAACGAAGATAAAATTAGGACCGAATGACCAGGGTGTTTAAATGTTTTAAGTTTCCTGTTCCTGTTCCGTGAGTAATCTTTATACCACCTAGCATATTGAACAGTCTTGGTACTTCTTCAACATTCTCTTGCACTTATAATAGCATCTACCATACTCATTCAATACTAGGACTGACCTATTAGTACAAAATTCTGAGACAATTGTTAGGACTTCAATGTTTTGACTTTTGGCAGATCCACTCTAATATGACATTTGATTCTGGGTTTTCTTTTGTGCAGAGACTGCAAGACCTTCCTTTTCTGCTCCGAAGGTTGGTACGAGAAATGATAGATCCTCAAAGATCTCTTCCTCTTGTCATAAGAGCTCGTGTATATCTTGCAGTTAAGTCAGTTTATCTCATCTGTGATCATTTTTCACATTACATCAGCCTTTATTGAATAGAGCCTGTGTTTTTATTCTTTTCTTCTTTTGAATTCAAAGGAATCTTTAGATTTATCTCAGAACCTGTTCTTAAATGCTTTTAAGTATGGCATGGAGCACTTGTGCATTTTTAACTCCGCTATTTTTATAAAATTAAAATTAGAAAAAGTGAAGTAGACCAATTTAATTTTTATAATAGAATAATACTGGCCATTGAAGATAAAGTGAAGAAGACCATTTTGATTATTTATAATATTGGAATAAGGCATCTTAATCTATTAGTGTCTTATTTTTGGACTCTTTTTAGCTGAGTCAGGCTTCTAGATACAGACCTGTATCAAATACCTATACCTGAGTCCATGTAACATAGTTGTAGGCTCATGTCCAAGCTTGATTTTGTAAATGAGCCTAGATTTTGACTCAAGCTTGGCTGTCGCAATAATGAGGTTGAGTTAAGCCAAGCTCTAGCATTTTTATGCTTTTTGTCATAATGTATGGATCCATAGAGCTTTGCTAGATATGACTTAAGAGTCGTTACCAATTTTTTTATTTAAGTGTGATTGATCACCTAACTAAATTTATCCATTTTAAAGATATGTTCTAAGCTTGACTTAAGTATCTTTAAAAGGTAGATTCTAGTTTATGAAACTAAGTTTAAAAGTTCAGTTATGTGTAAGGAAGTTGTAGCACCCTTACAACACTCATTCAAAAGATTGTACTAGCTTGATTTCATGTTATCTAAGCTTTAAAACATGTTTGTATTTTTACCAAATAATTTAATTATTGAAAATTGATCTTAAAGTTACTCCAATCGTTTGGTAGCAATTTAAGACAAATTTCTCATCTTAGGAGTATTCATGTAGATTAGCGTCTCATTTTAAAGAAGCTCCATTATCATATTCATTACTGTATTTTCTATGAGTTAATTATTTGAAAACAATTTATAAAATCTTTTAATAATTTGGTAGGATTTTATTGTGATACATATCCTTCAATAGTTTGGTAAGATTTTTATCTAAAAACCTTTTCATGCAATTTTTAAAATAGTCATTAAATCTTCCAATAATTTGATAAGATTTAACTTGATATTTAAGATCGTTTGGTAGGATTGAAAAATAATTTATTTTTTCAAATAATTCATTAAGTCTTCCAATTGTTTGGTAGTATTTAATTCAAGATTTAAATCCTCCAATTGTTTGGTAGGATTGAAAAATAATTTATTTTTCATAAAATTTCATTGTGAAATTCTTCAATGATTTGATAAAATTCATAATTCAATATTTAAATTCTCCAATTGTTTGGTAGGATTAAAAAAAATTATTTTTCACAATAATTCATTATAAAATTTTTCAATAGTTTGGTAGAATTAAAAAAATATTTTTTACAAAAATTCATTATGAAATTTTCTAATAGGTTGGTAGAATTTATAATTTAAAATTTGTAAACCCAAGAAAATCCTCTAATTGTTTGGTAGAATCATGAATTTGTTTTAAAATTTTTTTTTAGAAATATCAATTAAAATAAATAAAATTTACACAAATAAATAAAATAAATAAAATAAAATAAAATTTACTGATTAAAATTAATTAAAATAAGTAAAATTTAAATAAAATAAAAATAAATTAAAAAATTTTACCAAAATGGAAACGGTTTAGCTCAGCTCAAGTTACAACTCAACTTTAGGAACCAAAAGCGGTTGGAATGGTTGAGGGTGGTTGGGAGTGTGGCTCGACTCATCTCCAACAATCGTTACTAGAAAACGAGTCATCTGTTATTGGTTAGGTCAGACTTCAGGGCAACGCGCGGGCCTTGCTTAGTTAAAGTGCTTTAAAACAATATCATTTTGCAGTAGTATAAAAAGCAAAATTTTTTTTCTTTAGAATATGCTTTAGCTCTCTTTCTCTCTCTTTGTTTTTCTTTGTTTTCTCTTTCTAAGGTCGATGAACACTAGTGGAATTTCAACTGGATTTTGAAAAAATGTGCCAGAATCTGGGGATTTTTGTCGAAAAGTTGTTGAAAACTTCAAAGCCATTAGGTAGTTCAATCGAAATTTGGATTTTCCAAAAAAGCTCTAGAAAATTTTAGAAATTTTGCCAAAAAAACACCAATTCAAACCTTCCGAGCTCTTGGAATTCTCCAAAACACTGACTAGACTAAATCAAAGTTTCATGATTCTCAAATTTTCAAAAAATTTCTACCATAAACTTTGCCTTTTTCTCTTGAAACTTTTTTGTTGCTTTGGTTGCTATTTGTGTTGTATGTATTGCTGTGTGATTACTATCTATTCATAGAGGAAAAATTTAAGCTCAATCGGCATTCCATTTAAGATTGGATTCTTCAAAAGTTTTACCTTATCATTGGATTGAAAATGATTTTTATCTATAAAGAAAATCCTTATTCAATTTAAAAATTAAGATATGAATTATCATTTAAAGATTAAAATATCCTTATTTCCTTAGCTCAATTATCCAATATCATCATTAGCCATTTCTTTGATTTCAATCGTTAATCCATTTTGCAATTATCTCTTTTTTTTTTTTAAAAAAAAAATAATATAATAAAATAAAATATTTAAAGATAAACGAAATTAAAATTAAGGATAAATCATAATAAAAATTTAAAAATCAGATAAAAAAAGACTAAAATTAAATAAAAAAAATCAAGATAAATAAGATATATATACATATGGATAAATAAAATAAAGTAAAAAATAATAAATCATAAAAACATAAAAAATAAAAAAGGAAATATAGAAAATTGGATAGTTGGGCTTGGATTGGTTTGGGCCCCAAACTAAATACGGTGTCTACACCTTCGTTTATACCAAATGCGATTTGTAGGCATGAAAACATTGTTATTTAATACAAGATAAACATCATGTTGCATTTAAATTATATCTTTTATAGTAAAATGAATTATTTGTTGGATTTTATGTTTCAAATTATTGTCTTAGTTGTTTAGGGAAAACAATTATCTTTTGTCAATTTTGTATAGACAATCTTATTCTCTTCTTTATGCACAGATGTTATTAAGTTCCATCTACATATTCAGCCCCATTGACATTATTCCTGAAGGTACATCATATTTTGTTGAATTGTTTTGGGAAATTTATTTGGTAATTAATAGTTTCTAAACATCATAAATGCTTGGTGTCAAATTACAGCAATTTTGGGGATAGTTGGCCTTTTAGATGATCTTCTTATAGTCCTCGTTTGCTTTCTACATGTTGCTGCCATATATCGATCTGTTCTCTACTATCGTCATGGAGGTTCTTGAAGTTTATTGGAGCATTGATATATGTAAGCTTACTAGTTCTTAACAAAAAGCTAAACACAACATAATGAGAGTTGGAAAGTATATAGTTGTATGCATTGTGAATTAATTTTAGATTAATTTCTAATAGTTGTATTTGTAATATCACATAGTTGTTTATAAACTATAGTTCTATTTGACAACTTGTGCGTTTGACTACTGTTGATAAATGTTATTTTTTTGTTTCAAAAGTTTATCATGTGAAAGTTATTGCAAGCCAAACTATAGGCCTGACTGTGTGCCATTACTAAAAACCTTGAATCAATTGCATTGGTTATTTAGCATATATGGTCAATTTGTGTCGTCTAATATATGTGTTTCCCATCTTGAATGATCAACTTGTGTTGTTTAACATAGGTCTCCACCCTTCTAATTAATTTATTATAAGTTTGTGTGAAAAACCTTTAAACTCCTTTTGGTAGGAATGAATGGAAAGGGAAAGAAAAAAATTAATTTAATGGTTAAGTTACAAAATAACACATGTTATGAATCTCAAACATCAGATTAAAATTTTTTTATCTTTATCCATTTTCATCATTCGTATCAAACATAACTTTAATAGTTGTTAAAAGTAGGAAAGGCTTTGGAGGAATACAAATTAGTTGTGAGACATTGCTTCTAGAAGAAATGAACTCTGATGAAGTCTTGAATGGAGATTGATGATTGAGATTCAAGGTTGGTCTTGGAGTTAGGAATTTTCGTTGAATATTATGAGTTTAGTCTATTTAAAAAATTTAGTTCATTGTTGTAACTAACTGCAGAGTTTTTTTTTTTTCTTGTACTAGGATAGTTTAAAATTTTTATTCCCTTAATAAGGGTATTTTTAATTTTATTTCCTTAAACGAGTTGCTTTAAGAAAGAGTAATTGGGAGAGTAATTGAATATAAGTTGCGACACGAGATCATTATTTTCAAAAACTATTTGGGTTTATGTCAGGATATTCCATAACAGAGGCTATTCACCTATTGAGGCTTCTGTTAGATAGTTTTTGGGCAAGAAAGAAAAATCTACATATCATATTTATCGACTTGGAGAAAGCATATGATAGAGCTTTTCAAGAGATGCTTTAATGGCTTTTAATGAAGAAAGGAGTTCTTTTAATACATTAAAATAATTTAAGATATGTATGAAGGAGTTGCAACGAATGTGAAGATATTTAAAGGCTTGACTGATAGCTTTCCCATTATCTCAGATTGGATCAAGATTCAACATTAAGTCCATTTATTTTTGCATTAGTTATGGATCAGCTCGTAGGACATGTCCAAGATAAAGTGCCATGGTGTATGTTATTTACCGATGATATTGTTTTTGTTATTGAAACTAATAATGGTTCTAATACGAAATGAGAATTATGGAGCCATAAATTTGAGTTTCAAGGCTTTAAATTTAAGTAAATCTAAAACTAAATATTTCGAATGTAAGTTTAGTAGTTACAAAAAACGAGTGCTAATGTGATTAAGTTGAATAATGAGGTAATACCAAAGAATATGTTTTTTTTTATATATATTTATGATCAATTATTTAGAGCAGTGTTGAGATAGAAGGGGATGTAAATCATAAGATTCAAGTAGGATGGGTAAGGTGACAAAATCTATCAGGTGTGTCATGTGATTGTAATATGCTTTCAAGTTAAAGGTGAAATCGTATAAAATAACTGTAAGGCTTTTATTGTTATATAGGTCTGAGTGTTGGGCTATTAAAAAATAAAATACGAAGAAAATGAGCATAGCTGAGATGAGGATATTTAGATGGATGTGATATAAGACTAAAAAAAATCAGAAATAAGAAGATTTGAGGAAAGTTAGGGGTAGTCTAAATTGAGGAAAACATGATAGATGGTCGTTTGAGATGGTTTGTACATGTGAAATGTAGGCCTATCTATACACCAATTAGAAGAAATAAGCTTTTGGACTTGGAAAGATCGAAACTTCTAAAAGTATATGATTGCATTAAAATTTTAGCATTTTCTTACCTTTTTTTAGTATAAATTCTCTTGAGTTTTAGCTTAATCCTTGAGAATTTTGGTAAAAATACTTTTAAATGCATAAATGTTCAATGTGTCGGTAAAAATATGAAAAATGAGGAATTTTGGAGATTTTGGCTTCATTTGGAGGATTTTTTGTGCTAAAAGAGAGCAAAGACCAAAGCTGGTGTCTTATGCTAGATTATCATCTATGGGATTTCTTCTTAGCCCTTTTCCTGTGATTTACTTAGCATAATTTAGCTTAATGGAACCTTATTTTAAGTTTTAATTCTCATATCTCTCATTTGAAAATATTATTTTTAGCTTATTAGTGCATTATTACCTTTGTAGTAATTTTTATAAGTGCTTGAAAGGTAATAGGTGCATTAATGTAGTTAGAAGCTAATTTTAAATTTGTAGTTTGCCAGAATTTTTCCAAGGTTTTATAATGCATAATTTGTATACTTAATATCCTGTACTTTGGTTGCAAAATGAAGGAACCAATTGTTATAATTGGCATTAAAAGGAGAATGCAAAATTTAATATTGGCTATTGGAAGCATTGCCATATGATCTAGGCATTGTGGCGCTAATTGTGGAGATTGAAAAAGGATCAATTGGAGCTGCTGAGCTAGCCATTTGAAGAGATCTAGTTGGTCATAATGTTGACTTCTTAGAGGGGATTGGATCATAGGAATAAGGTTTGAAGTAAATGGAGTAGACACTTAATTTTGTCCAGATAGAATCCGTCCAACTTGAAGCTCTTAAAATCTAACCCAATCCAAATCCAATATTTTTTTAAAAATCTTGACATGTTTTTAGAATTAAAATTGGAATCGATTTGACCTAAATACCCTAAGGTCAAATTTAATAAAACCTAATCTAACAAAGTCAAACTCAGTCAAAATTAGTTAAAGTCAGTCAAACTAAATTAGAATGTGAGTTAATTTTCAAAATTCATAACTAATTATAATCAATATGGCTTGGAATTGAAATTCATGATTTTAAAGCATTAAAAAACCCAGTTGCACTTTGAAAAGGGTAAAATTACTAAAATACCTTTTAAGGGTATTTTTATAATTTGACTTTTTTGAAGTTGGACTTTTATAAATATTTTTTAATGATTTTTGGTGTATTAAAAACTTTGATCACACCTTTAGAGGTGTGAAATTACTAAAACACCCTTAGGGATATTTTTGTAAATTGACTTTTCCTAAGTTAAAATTTCACAAAAAACTCCAAATGATGATTTAATATTATTTAATGGTTTTTGAAATATTGAAAACTTTGATAATACCTCGGAAGGTGTAAAATCAATAGAATACCCTTTAAAGGTATTTTTGTAATTTGACTTTTTTGAAGTTGTTTTTTGTGAAATGTTTTATATCATGTTTTCAAATTATTTAATGATTTTTGGTGCATTAAAAATCTTGACAGCACCTTAGAATGTGTCAAATTACGAAAATACCTTTAAGGATAATTTCATAACTTGACTTTTCTAAGGTTGGATTTTAATGAAAACTTTCATATTTTAATTTCATATTAGTTCATGATTTTTGGTGTTTTAAGATCACGAAAAAAATTATGAAAATGAAAAATGGAGCATTATTTTTCAAGAAAATGGCCTAAAAATCAAAAACTTTCTAATGGACAAGAAAATGGTCCTTTCACTTGGTTCTAATAGCACTAAAAATCCAATCTTTGGCAGTAAACAATCTTAACCGTGGGATGATCTTGAGGGGTTGGATCCAATGGTGACATGTGGCTCATTGCAAAGAAAACAAGGGAGAATTTTAACCATTAGATGAAGTTTTGATCTAAGCGCCTACATTCATTTGTGTGATATTTTTTCACCATTTAAAACATTGGGATACATGGTTTCTAAAAGGGAGGAGTAGCTGGGATTCACGAAAAGAAAAAAAAAAAAAACTTTTTGGAGGCTTGCTTGCTTGGAGGTATAATTCCTAGTTCCTTTCTTGTATTTCTTCACATTCCATTGCATTTTTATATTTGTTTTCTCTATTTTTCTATTTTTTTCTTGAAGAATATTCTTAGTTGTTTGCGTTTTTTACCTCAAATTTGATCCAAAAACTCAACGACTAGCCCATAGTTTGATTAGAGACAAGTGATTAAAGAAAACAAAAAACAATCCACCATTAAAGTCATTGAGAGGTTTGGTTAAGCTCCCATACTCCATGGTCGAACCTCTTTTCGGTTCCTTTTAATGATTTTCTTGGTTTTAATAATGTTTATGATGTTTAGATTGTTTGTTTGCTTGATCCTTGCATGAATTTTGATTAATTAGTTATGTATGTTTAATGTTTGGCTATATAGTTTTGGTTCCATGGTTTTCTTATTATGTAGTTCATTATATGTTTGATCAAATTCCACTGACAATGTATATGCCTTTATATTATATAGTCATGTGTGTTTAATGATTGTTTAAGCTAAATTTGATGAAATCATATTGAAGAAGCCATGGAAGTTTTTGGCCAAGCTTTTCCATGCATTGGTCAAACCTTTCTCCTTTGCATCATGGCCAAATGTTTGGTTCCTTTTAAAATGTTTGTGATCTTACATGATTTTTCAAAATTTCAATGTGTTTGATTGAATTTTCTATGAATAAAATGTTAGCATGGGTATAGCTTTTAGTGATTTTGTGTTTGTTTGCATGATTTAAAAAAAAATAGTGGAAAATGTCTTAAAATTTTATCTAAAATTTTTGTGTTTGATCCACTTACATCACATTTTCACATGCACATTTTATTTATCATATAATTTTTAAAATGCTTAGATTTATAATTAGTTTATTCCTTAGTCATACATTTTTCATACATCAATATTTATATTTTTAGCAATCGCATTTTCGATATTTGTCACATGCATCAATATTTATATTTTTACCAATGGCATTTTTTGTTATTTGTTTTTATCATATGCATTTCTCATAAAACTCTAAACTCCAAACCTTAAACCACCCATGAAACACTAAAGTAAACCCTAAACCTTAACCTTAAACCTTAAACCTAAATCTTAAAGACGAGTGGTATCAGAGCCAGCCCTAAACCGTTCGATCCACACCGAGCACCTCGAGGGAGGTAGGCAGGGTGGCCGGCCTCCGTGACGAGGACGTCACGAGGTTGGGTGCGAGAGAATGTCACGGACCTAAGGGGGAGTCCTGAATCCCACATCGAACATAATAGGAAGGTCCTTGGGGTATAAAAGGGTTCACACCATCTCTGCCTTGTGAGGCGCCTTCTAAACTCTAGAACTTAAACCACCCTCCAAATCCTAAACTATCCTCCAAACTCTAAACCACTCACGAAACCCTAAACTATCATCCAAATCCTAAATCACCAATGAAAGCTTAAGCCATCCATGAAACCCTAAACCACCCATCATATCCTAAACTAATCTTTAAACTTTAACCCTAAATCAAACCCCAAACCCTAACCTTCACCCCGAACCAACCCTAAATCTTAAACCAAACCCTAAACAGAACCCTAAATCCTGACTTAGACCCTAAACCTACCCCAAACCCTAAAACCTCAAACCAACACTCAAACCCTAAAATTAACCCATGATCCCTTTCATGCATTTGCATTGCTTTTTGCTTTATTATTACATGCATTTTAAATTACCATGCATTCATACTTTGTCATTCATATTCAATCATCATGCATTCATATTATTACTATGTTCATGCATACATGCATCAGTTTTACAAATAAAGTTCTTTAAATAATAGCATTTTAAAAT